ATTTATATTAATTGTGTATTTATTCTTACATGTTTAAACTTCAGTCGTCTTCAAAATACCCTCCGTTTGATGCAATACACCTATTGAGACACATTTTCCACTGCTCAAAACAGTTTTTAAACTCATCGGCTTTGATGCCTTTTAGTGCTTCTGCCTTTTTGTTTCATCTCTTTCACAACGGCAAAATGTTTCCCTTTGAGAACTTTTTTTCATTGGAAAAACAAAAAAAAATGTTGCTTAGGTGAGATGAGATGAATAGGAATGGTAGGACACAGTGGTCACACCATTTTTAGTCAAAAACTTGAACACTTAGCACGATGTGGGTAGGTATGTTGTCATGGTGAAAGAACCAGTCACCTGTCTGCCACAACTTGGGACATTTCTTCCACAAATCATGAAAAACCTTCTGAAAACTTCCAAATAAAAACTTTGGTTGACCATTTGGTCTGGAGGAAAAAATTTAGAGGGTACTACAAGGGACATATTAAGGATAAAATTATGAACTTCACAGCAACTTGGATGAAGTTAAAATTACTCTTACCTACCCTCTAAGGTGTAGGTATTTCTGTTTTGTTATTTATCTTCATTATATGAGTAATTCTCAGTTTGTGGCCTGAAATCATTGGACCATTAGATAATATTAGATAACTTTCTGTAGATTCTCTTTTTTTGAGTTGTAGTCTTACTTGGTTGCCCAGGCTGGAGTGCAGTGGCATGCTCACAACCACCATAGCCTAGACCTGCTGGACTCAAGCGATCCTTCCGCCTTAGGCTTCCCAGTAGCTGGAACCACAGGCGCGTGCTACCATGCCTGGCTAATTTTTTAATTTACTGTTAGAGACAAGGTCTCACCAAGTTACCCAGGCTGATCTCAAATTCCTGGCCTCAGGCAGTCCTCTCACCTCTGTCTCCCAAAGTGCTGGGATTACAGGTGTGAGCCACTGTGCCCAGCCAGCTTTCTTTAGATTTTTTTGATATTTTCTATGTAGACAATCATGTTATCTGTGAAGACAATTTTATTTTTTCTAATCTTTGTCCTCCCTCCCTCCTCTTTTTCCTTCCACCTTATTATTCTGGCTAGGACCTCTAAGTACAATGTTAAATTGGAGTGGTAAGACCAGACTTCTTATTTCTTCTCAATATTAGGGAATTATCTTTCACCACTAAATATGATGTTAACTGTAGAGTTTTTGTACATGGTAAGTATCAGGTTGAGGAAGTTAACGCCTATTTTTAGTTTTTAGTAAATGTCCAATTTGGCCAAATGGTTGTATTTAAAAATCTACCATCTTGCTATTTTGTCTATTTGTTCCATCGGCTCTTTGTTCCCTCTTTTTTCCTTTTTCTTTCTTCTTTTGGATTAAATGTTTTTTATGATTCCATTTTTTTCTTTTGCTGATCTATTAATTATGCCTCTTTGTTTTTTTTTTTTATTGGTTGCTTTATAGTTCAAAGCATATGTATTTAACATCACAGTTTACCTTCCAGTAATGTTTTATATATATCACTTCATATATATTGTAAGAAACTTTTCACAGTATACTTCTGGTCCCTCTCTTAGGGTCTTTGTTCTATTGTTGTTATGCATTTCTACATATATTATTAATTCCATAATAAATTGTTGTTATTTTTGCTCTAAACCTTTCTTTTTTTTTTGAGTTGGAGTCTCACTCTGTCGTCCAGACTGGAGTGCAGTGGCCGCTCCCGGCCACCGCAGCCTCGGCCTGCTGGGCTCCAGCGATCCTTCCGCCTCAGCCTTCCGAGTAGCTGGAATTACAGGCATGCGCCACCACACCCAGCTGATTTTTTGATTTATTGTAAAGATGAGGTCTCACTGCCCAGGCGGGGTCTCGAACCCGCGGGCTCAGGCAATTCACTCACTTCAGCCTCCCAAAGGCGCGGGATTACAGGCTGAGCCACCGAGCCCGGCTGCTCTAAACCTTTCAATGAGATTTTTTTTAATATGAGAAAATATTTATATTTGCCTATATATTTACCATTTTCAGTGCTTTTCATTCCTTTGTATAGAACCAGTTTTCTGTCAGATAACTTTTTTCATCAGCTTGAAGTATACTTCCTTTTAACATTTCTTTGTGCACATCTTTGCTGATGATGAATTTTGTCAGCTTTTTTATGTTAAAATTATATCTATTTTGCTTTTATTAAAAAACATACTTTCTCTGGATATAGAATTCTAGGTTGAGTTTTCAGTTTTCCAACACTTTCAAAATGTTCCACTGTTTTCTGGCTTGACTTGTTTCTCATGAGAAGTTTTCTGTCATTCTCATCTTTGTTCCTCTGTACTTCATGTGTCTTTTTTTCTCTCTGGCTACTTTTAAGATTTTTTTTTCCCGTCACTTGTTTTAAGTAATTGTATTAAAATGTATATTAGTATTGCTTTTTCGTTTTATTTGTCCTTTGAGCTTCTTGCATCTGTCAGTTTATAGTTTTTATCAAATTTAGATAAACTTTGGCCATAAATTTTTCAAAAATGTGTTTTCTGTCCTCTTTCTCCGCTTTCATAGAGTCAAATAACAGATATACCATGTTGTTTTTCATTTGGCCCATGACTCATGTACTGTTCATTTATTTTAAATCTTTTTATTTTTCTGTGTGTTTCATTTTGTGTAGTTTCTATTGCTGTGTCTTTAAGTTGACTAATTTGTTCTTCTGCATTATCTTACCTGCTATTAGTCCTATCTAGTGCATTTTTAAATTTCAAATATTCTTTTTTAACTCTAGGAATTCAATATTTTAAAATATCTTTTTTCTGTCTATTCTTAGTGTGCTTATGTTTTCTTGTGCCTTCGTGAATACATGGAATATGTCATAATACTTGTTAATATCCTCATGTATTATTTCTGTCATCTCTGTCATATCTGGTCTGTTTCTATTCATTGTTTTTTCTCATTGAAGATCATCTTCTGTTTTTCTGCATGCATGGTAATTGCTTATTAGATGCCAGACATTGTGAAATTTACTTTGTTGGGTACTGAATATTTTTAAATTCCTTTAAATGTTTGTGCTTTCTTCTGAGACATAGTTAAGTTGCTTGGGAACAGTTTGATCCTTTTGAGCTTTTCTTTCCATCTTTCTTATGTAGGACCAGAACATCCTTTGGTTCAGGGCTAATTTTCCCCCATAAAGGGCAATACTTTGTAGTATTGTACCTGATGCCCAGTGTATGCCTAAGTTTTTCCACTCTGACTTGTGGTCGCATGAACTATTTCTGGCCTTGTGTGATCTTCAGGCATGATTCTATCTGTTCTTTCTCTGACCTCAGGAAGTTTCCTTACATGCATGTGCTGAGCAGTACTCAAAAACTCAAAAGGAAAACTCCACAGATCTCTGCACTTCTCTCTCGGAGTAGTCCTCTCCTCTTAGTGCAACTGTCTCTTCACCATGCAGCGCTCTGCTCTTTGGTGTTTTCTGCTCTGTGAATTCTAAGGGCTTTGGCCTTCACAAATTCTTAACTCTGTTTCCTTAATGTTAATTTTTCTTCAAATATTGTGACAGATTAGTTGTGGGTAGTAAATTTAAAAGTGATATATTTTCAAACACATAACTTTGGCTTCCATTTTCAAATTGTATTAAAAGAGCATTCATACTAGATCTAATGGCATCAATTCAGTTTTTCTTATAAGTGAAAACGGATTGATTAGTGGTTTTAAATTTATGTTTGGTAAACATTTTTTGAATGTATTCTAATCATTTTTAAGCTTAGTAGTTATTGTTTGGTTTTTAGATGATATAAACATTTAGATGATCAAAAGAGATTTTTGCTTCATCATTCACTATGAAATCTAGAAATATGCAGAACAAGAAATATAAAATCCCCTAGAAGATTTTTTAGTGCTCTACTCTTATAATCTATTATGTTTTTCATGCATATATGGGGCATTATAATATTTCTATCCTTTAAAGTTGTATCCGCATTGATTTCTTTTCTTTGGTGTGTAACGTACCAAATAATGTTTAATGTTACTTATATTTGCTAACATTTTAATTACTTGTATTTTTTACTTCAGCCAAAAATAATATGCGACATTTGATGTTTATATTCTATATAAATATTCTGTTTGGTGCTATCACATTTTCCTATGGTTCCTGTCAAATGAAAAAATTTCCATAATGATGCTCACACATTTATTTCGATGATACTCTGAAAGCTAGCCATTGCCTTGTAAAAAACTCAAACATATATTAACAGTTCAGTCTCATTTTTATTTACTCTCTAGATCGTAGTATCCATGTTACTTTTTTCAAATTCAGATTTTTGTTTTCCATAGTTAACACTATCATTGACAAGCATTTATAATTCTTCATATATAGTTAAAATATTTTATGAATGCTGTTAATCTTTTTATTTTTCATATTCTTTTACGTCTACCTTCTTTAGCTTCTACTTTCTATCCCCAGAGAGGTAGCAGCATGGACTAAATGCATATTCTTTTTCAGTAAATAAAATAACTCAAATCTAGTGACTTTGTTTGTTTGCTTATTTTACTACTTCCAGAATTTTATATATAATATTCTTTTTTTTTGAGTTGGAGTCTCACTCTGTTGCCTAGACTGGAGTGCAGTGGCCGCTCCCGGCCACCACAGCATCGACCTGCTGGGCTCTGGCGATCCTTCCGCCTCAGCCTTCCAAGTAGCCGGAATTACAGGCATGCACTACCACGCCCGGCTGATGTTTTGATTTATTGTAGAGATGAGGTCTTGTTGCCCAGGCGGGTCTCAAACCCGCGGGCTCAGGCAATCCACTTACCTCGGCCTCCCAAAGGCGCGGGATTACAGGCTGAGCCACCGAGCCCAGCTATAATATTCTTGAAAATTTCCTACTTGTATGATCTTTGGAAAGTTAACTACCACTACTGAATTACTATCTTCTCCAGCTGATGTATTTAAGTTTGAATAGATAAATGGGGATTTTTGTGGTAATTGGAAATAATCCTTTAGTGATGAAAAATTCAGTGTCTTTCCCCCTCTCTTTTCTATAGTATCAAAGGTGCAGAATCTGGGACAAGTTGCATGAAGAGCATATCAATGCAGGACGTACAGTCCAGGTAAGGCTATTACATTGTTTTTAGTAAATCAGTATGAAAAAGGCAGCCTTAAAAAATGTTTGCTAAATAGTACCTTTGTAGCTAAATCCTTATATATATACTTAAGGGTGCTTTGGCAAGCTGGCCTTTTCCCCGGAGGTACTTCCAAATATCGATATCTGAAGCTTGTTCTGGTTTAATTTTCTAAGGAAGAATCCTCATTCTCCTTCCAGGACAGGTAGATAGGTGCTTGTCTTACAGAGTTATAAAGACAGGTAGGTGATGGCTGCTAGACTTTCCCTGTTCAGTACAACCTTTTGCACAAATCCCTATTTTTAGCCCTTGCCTAGTATTTCTGAATCTAGAGTCATTTTCTCCAAAGAATATATCCATGGTCCTCTCAAATTTCGAAAACATTATTATGGCTGCAGTACAGTGAATAGACTGGGATAGAATGAAATGAATGCAAGAGATCATTAGAAAGAGTTACAGAGGTCCAGGAAGTAGATGTTAGTAGCTTAGAGATAGTGGACATGGAAGAAATCAGGTTGATTTGAGATGTAGATGGAAATTTGACTTATCTCTCTATATCTGTATTTACTGCTTGCTAACTAGTTTACAGGTCTAAAGAACAGCGACTATGTATTCACTATTTGTATATTCTACGGCTTCTGGTGCCCAGCAAGATTCAGTGTTCATTGAATGGTACTAAGCTAAATGTTAATGTCAATGTGATTATTATGACCTTGATTTCTTACTATCTTCACTGTTTAATATATCACTTAAAAAATCACATGAGTTTCTTGAGACATTGACTATGGTCAAAGTATTTGTTTACTTATTTTAGAAATATTTATATTTATATATTTACATTATTGACCTCCATCTGGCATAGAAGATTTATGGATGTTATTAAAATAGTGAGATCGAAATAGTTGTTAGATGTAGGTATTTGCTTAGTTTTCTTTATGTCTGCTCTGAATTCTGTATATAGGCCTGTTCTTTGCCAATTTGTGTAAAAGTTATTTTGGGACAAATAATTTCATCAACAGTTATCATAGATTTTTCTGAATTTATCACTCTTAGATTTACATAGTAAGAACTATATTTTTACTTCTTTAAGGTATCTTTTGATAAGGAGTTCTTCATTTAAAGGTAGTTTAATTTATCAGTCTGTTTTTTTATGGTTCTTACTTTTGGTGTCTTGTTTAAGGAATTCTCTCCATCTGGAGTTCAAGAAGATGTTTGCCTATATTTTCCATTGAATGTTTTAAGCATTTTGTTTTTAACATTTAAGACTTTAATACATTGGTGGCATGACATAGCCATGAATAAAATTTTATTCAATTTGGAAAACGAGTTGTGTCTCACTATTAACTGATTTCTAGAGTGTTACTTCTGAAACGTATGGTAATTCCATATATACATGGGTCTGTCTCCGATCTATTCTTTTCCATTGGTTAGTTTGTCTCTCTGCACCAATTTCCACACAGTTTTAAGGTAAAGCTTGATATCTGCTAGTACAATACTTCCATCTTACTCTTTCTTTTCAGAAGTATTTACGCTATACTTGGCTCTTTAATCTTCCATATAAAATTCAGAATCAACTTTTCAAAGTCCACACATAATCTTCTTGAGAATTTGGGAATTGCATTGGATTTATTTAGAGAAAATTGACATCTTTACAATATTTAGTTTTTCTACTTATGATATGGAATATTCTTTCTGGGTGCTGGATAAGGGGATACTATCTTCACTTTTCAGATAATAGAAGGCTGAAGAACAGACAAATTTAGCATTGTCTGGAGTACAAAGAGAGAAATTTAGTGTTTGTCTAAACTTGAGACATTTAGTGTTGACTCAAGTAGTAAATGGCAGTGCAGCAATTCAGTTTATCTGGCATAATGTCATTGCTTTTAGATGGCACTTAAGAATATCTAATGAAAACTGATTCCAATGTTGTATCTTAATGTTTCCTTTTAAACCTAGAAACATTTTTAATATTAATCAGGTGAATAGGGACCAGAGTACTATACTTATTACCTATGAAGTAGATGCTCATTAGATATTTGTTGAATAAATGAATGGAGATCCTTTTCTCCATTGATTTTTGCTCTTTTTGGTGGTTAATACTTTTTAAGTTCTACACTTTCTTTTTGGTGACTTTGAATGTTGAAATAAGTATGACGTCATTATACTACTAGCCATACCTTAGTGTAGCAGTCAGGAAATGAAAGTAATGAATCGTCCAGATTTATATTAATTAAATAGTTTTGACTCTGGAGCCCTTAATAATAAATTATATGATGCCTAGAATGTGTTTACTCTAAGTTATTTAAATGTTTACCAGTAGACTTGTGCTCTTTGTTTGTAAGGAAATCAGATTAATTATTTTGATACCAAATGTTTTCTGCTGTACACAATTTGCTCTCAGAATTACATGTTGTAAAAACACATTAGGAATCCTTAAATCAATATTAACAAAGGCAAATATATGCATGGCCACTCTTCTTTTAATCATTAAATACATAATTAGCTATTTTCAGAATTTTCAATTAACTTCGAATAATTACTTTTTACAATTATCATCAGTATAGATGAGTATATATTTGAATATATCTTCTAATCTTTAGACGGAAATTCGGGGACATTTCTGAAAGAAGGGAAAAGGCCATAACTAATTATAAATTTAGTTATAAAATTAAAGAGAGAAGTTGTCTTTATTTTGTTAAAAGTTTAACCATAATTTACAGCTTACTACCTGTATACTGTAAGTCTGTTAAATGCTGAGTTGACATACTTTATTTTTTTTAACTTACTTTACTGATTGTAGTACTATTGATGTAACTTGTGGATATTTCTGCGGAGTTTTAGAATTTGGCATAATATCTGCCCTTCTGGCTTAATTATTAGAAGAGCAGAAACATTTGCACATTTACTGGGTTCTAGATACTATTTTAGACACTGGGGATGCTAAATGGAGAGAGCAGAAGATACGTTTTTTTTTTAGGTTATTCAATAAATATATATTATGTTAGATGGTTATAAGTGCCATGAAGAAAAGTAAAGCAGGTTGAAGCAAACGGAGTATCACAGAAGGTGATGAGTGTTCCCTTAACTAAATGGTGGTTGTGGAAGGCTTCTGATGACATCTAAGCACGGACCTGGAAGAAGTGAAGGCATCCAGGGAGAATAGAATTTTCCAGGCAGAAGGAAGATCAAGTGTGAAGGTTCCAAGGTGAGAGAATACTTGGCATATTCAATGACTATTAAGGTCAGTATGGCTGGTGTGAACAAGGAGAATACAGGAGACAAAGTCAAAGAGATCAGCTGGGTCAGATCATGCAAGGCCTACAGGGATGCTGTAAACTCATCCCTCCAAGCTTTGAAAGGTTTTGATTAATGACCTGATATGACTTTTAAAGGATTATTTGGACTGGCCGGGGTCCCATGGGTTCAGCCCTGTTATTCCCCAGGCACTTTTGGGAGACCGGAGGCCAAGGTGAATTGCCCGGAAGCCCCGCCTGGCAACTTGGCGGAGACCTCGTCTTTTACAATAAACCAAAAATTACCCAGGCGTGGTAGCGCCTGCCTATAGTTCTGGCTACTTGGAAGGCTGAGGTGGAAGGATCACCGGAGCCCAGCAGATTGAGGCTGTGGTCGCTGGGAGCATGCCACTGCACTCCAGTCTGGGCAACAGAGTGAGACTCCAACTCAAAAAAAAAGGAAGGAAGGGAGGGAGGGAGGGAGGAAGGGAGAGAGGAAGGGATTATTTGACTGTTAGGAAAAAGATAGACTCTAAGGAAGCAAGGATGGGACTAAGGATACCAGTTAGGTAGCTAGTATAATAATAAGGTTCTAGAACCTACCTTTTAGAAAAATGCAGATATGCACATATACAGAAAATTTTGTATAGTATGCCAGAGACCTAATATGTTAGGTTTTTTTTAACGTACTCTCTTCATAGCTCTAGTAAGTGATTTTGAATTCACAAACTTGACAGAAGAATAAGGAACTACCCTGACATCAATCTTAACATTGAAGTACCTTTTTGAAAATTACACAGTCAACATTATGCTTAATGGACAGAAACTGGAAGCATACCCCCTGAGAACTAGAACAAGACAAGGATGCCTACTCTTACCCTTCCTATTCAACATAGTACTAGAAGTCCTAGCCAGAGCAATCAGGCAGGAGAAGAAAATCAGGGGTATCCAAACAGGAAAAGAGGAAGTTAAGTTGTTTCTCTTTGTGGACAATATGAATCTATACCTAGAAAACCCTAGAGAGTTTGTCAAAAAACCTTCTTGCTTTGATAAATGACTCTGGTCAAGTCTCAGGATACAAAATCAATGCACAAATGACAGCTGTGTTTTTATATACTAACAACAGGCAAACTGAGAACCAAATTAAAAACACAGTTTCATTCACGATAGCCACAAAAAAAAAAAGAAAGAAAGAAATACCTTGGCATCCACCTAATCAAAGTGAAAAAACCTTTACAATGAGAACTGCAAAATACTACTCAAATAAACCAAGGATGAAACAAAAAAAAAAGGAAAAACATCCTATGCTCATGGATTGTTGCCAAGATATCTATCCTACTCAAGACAATCTACAGATTTAATGCAATCCCTATTAAATTGCTAACATCATTTTTGACAGACCTAGAAAACACAATACAGAAATTTATATGGAAAAAGAACACTAATAGTTAAAGCTATCCTCAGCAAAAGCAACAAAGCAGGAGCCATCACACTTCCAGACTTTAAACTTTATTACAAGGCTACAGTAACCAAGGCAGCATGGTATTGGTACAGGGATAGGCATATAAATCAATGGAATAGGACATAGAATCCGGAAGTAAAAACATGGTTCCTTAACCAACTCATCTTCAACAAAGCCATCAATAACAAACATTGGGGAAAGGAAACCATATTTAGCAAATGTGCTGGGAAAACTGGCTAACCACGTGGAGAAGAATGAAACTGGACCCCTACCTATCACCATATACAAAAATT